CAAAACTTTTCATGCCTTTGAGCTTCTAATTTTCAAATATTATTTTTTCACTTTGAAAATAAGAACCTACTTTTTTAAAATTTTAAAATGAAACATGGTCATACGTCCCTAATTAAGTGCAAACAAACGAGGCAAAATATGCTCTTTTTTAAGGTTCACTTGAAAAAGAGAGTTGAAATACTCCTTTTAAAACCAAATGCAAGAGAGAACTTCTCAACAATCCTCAATGGCAGATGAAACATGCTCAACTGTGGTAAGAGAAGATCAAACAGCAAGAATCAAATAAGCCACTCAAATGTAATATATGCATAAATGTAGACACTCTAGACAAGTTACCAACTACTAACATAAAAAATAATATTAACAACTACGCCTTAATCCCAAGCAAGACAGAATCATTCCTTTTAACCACATCTCCATATTAAATCATGACACTAACTACGCGATCCTCTTCATGATACGAAAGAGGCCATCTTTGTGTGGTACAAAAGATTCTAATTTCCTCATGTTACTGCTAAAAGGCTTCATCACCTTACTCTTCGTGTCATATATAAATACACTAGAGTTCTTCTTATGCTCTAGAATCAATACTTCACCATTCCTTGCACCAGCAACAGCAACAAGGTTCCAAAATCTTGGCATTCTTCGCTCATCCTGTCTTGATGATTTGTATGGACATATATAATTTGTCAACTCTGCCACAATTGTATGTTTCTTGAACCAAACTTTCCTTCGAAAATCTTCCAAAATCCAAACATTCATTGTTTTCTCCGAATCACAGTTGATAAAAGAAAGAAATCCATCCAACTCCACCAATGCATAATTGTTCGTTTTATTAATCTCTTTAACACGTTCTGGAAGATAAGTTCGACTGAATTTTTCCTCTTTTACTTGCATTGTAATGAAATACTCAGCTGAATCAACATACCAATGCAGAATCCTTCCATTAATCGACACTGGATTCTTCCAGTGAAACTTAACTGGATTAAATGGTCGATCATTTAAATCTTCCCACGGACTAGAAACTCGTTCCCATTGCAGTTCATCATCAGCACTGCTCACATTAAATATTTCAAATCCATAAGAATCTGTAACAACATGCACTACTTTGTACTGTTTTGTCGAAGAGTCAAATGCAAGTGCTGCACTACAAGCTTTATGTTTACAATGTGAAGGGCATCGCGGGATAGTGAGGCAGAACTTTGTTGCTGGATTTATGATTTGTAGCATCCCATTGTTCCCTGGTTCACGCATCAACAGAAATCCATCACAGCTAGAATGAATCTTGCATAATTTACTTAGTCCAACTTCACGCGATTCACATTCAAATTCTTCTCCAATCTCTATCAACTTTGTTTTCATACGCCATCCTAATCCTGACTGTATCACTAATTCTGTTTTCGATTCCATGAAATTTTGCTCAATGAAGAAACTCTCTGAGACAATTTCTTTCCATGATTTGCAGACGCGCATGACATACTTATGAATGTCTTTTGGCGGAATCTTCACCAGGATGTTAAATAAGATACCATCTGGAATATTTGAAAGAGTACTAATCTTATGACTCTTGTTAACTACTTGTTTCATTCCTCGGCTTTTATTTTCTTCATACTTGTTTTCTTTTACTCTCAACATCTGTCGAGCAAATTCAATGTCATCAATTTCAATATCCCCCATTCTTGCAGCACGCGTACGTACACCAGAAAAAGAGTGATCTCTATATAGGTTTCAGAAGGAAATCAAACTTTAAAAAGTTAGAAACAAGGGATCAGAAAACTCAGTTTCATGACTCTTGCAAATAATTTGATATGGTGAGTTTAACGAGAGGTAGAGGTAGGCCGAACAAGTATTGGGGAGAGGTGATTTAGATAGAACATGACACATCTTCAGCTTACCGAACACATGATCCTAGATAGGAGGATATGGAATTTCTGTACATTCAGTGTACTCTACGGACAGAGGAATACATAGAATTGAACATTATACAATAAGAAATTGAAAGATTCGTTAAAATTGTTAAAAGAACCGCGGTATCCAGGTAAAAAAAACTGTCAAAAGATTACATAGTGAGACATAGAACAAGCTCTTCCAGAGAAACTAAAGCTTTATTAGTGAATGAACATCTTACACTCTTAGATATCGTTTGATACGAGGGATAAAGAATAACTAGTCCAGGATTAATTTTAGAATAAGTTTATCTCATGTTTGATTGGAATAAAATCGCACCATAACTTACCCCATGATTTTAGTGCTATTTTTCTAGATAACTAATCCTGGATAATTGATTTTCGATAACTTGTTCCCAATCAAACGAGTCAACTAGCAGGTATATCCATAAAACATGATTCAACTATCACATTGAATGATCATGAGTTCATGACGACCAACATAACAATAATAAACTTTAGGAATCACACATACTTTAGAATTATGTCAATTCAACCAAGGTTATAACCTCCTAATTCCTAATCATTATTTTCAAATCACTATAATTAGCTGCGAACTAGCTAACGAAAATTTGTCATTAATTTGTTGCTAAGTAAAATTAGCCACAAATTTTGCTGGTTAGCTACAAAATTTATCCGTAGCTATATCCATTTTTTTGGTATTGAATATCAACAACATTCAAATTAAACATCATGATATGACCTAAGATTAATTCAATGGCTATAATTAAAAAAATCAAAGCTACTAACTTTTACTAAAACATAAATTAGAACTTAAATAAATATTGGAATTTAGAGAACATACAATTTGATTTGCTTTATGTCCTGTGGAGACTTTTTAGGGCAATTTGGTTCGTTATTAATTTTGCCTTTGCGGCCGACTATCTATTTATAGCATGGCATATATTTTTATCACTTAATCATATACAATTATTAATTAATGTATATTTTCAATTTATTAAATTGTTTAACCTTGATTCCTACATTAAATTGGTTTAGTGTGATCAAACTCCTCTATAAACTAACAATAATTAAACTTCCCATTTTATCTTTTGGATTATCCATTTTACCCCTATTATATCTAATACCTCTTTATATTATATAGAATTTATTTTTTAACTTAGGTATTAATAACTTTTTCTTTAATTCATTAACATTATAAGTAGAATAATATTTTTATAAATTGTCACAAAATTTAATATTATTTTTAGGGGAAAAGGTCAAAAATGCCCTTAAACAATGTGAAAGGAACAAAAATGTCCTCCATTTATAGTTTGGCTCAAAAATGATTTTGCCGTTAATACTTTGGTTCAAAAATGTCCTTGCAGTCAATACTTTGATCCATTAATGCCCATATAGTTACTAAATGGGTCAAAAATGTCCTTTTCTGAATAAATATATTATTTTTTTCTTTTTAAACACATCTTAAGTTTTTTTAGGGTCTTGAAGAGGTATATTGTTTTGACTTAGATAAATTATGGAAAAAATATAGTAGGGATAAGGGTAAAAAATGAAATTTTTTTTTATCGTTTCTTGATATGTTAAAAGTGACAAGTAAATGTGAAAATCTATTTTTTGGATAGTGAACAAGTTCACATAGTCACCCATCATTAATTTTCATTTAAATAACGATAAAAAAAATTACTAAATAAAATAAGAAAAATCCGTGTTTCTTAATTTTTTTCAAATTGAAGTAAGAAAGGCATTTATTAATAAAATAAAAAATAATTGAATTCACAATCGAATAATTTTAAATATTCAATAAATTTCATACTACATACTCCCATAACGTGAACTCATATGTTTACAGCTCGATCCAACACAAATGAAATTAAATTCATGCCACTTGCTGACATTATTATTTTTCAGTACCTTTCAAAGAGGGTCATCAATATTTTGTAGTACTATATTTATTGAGTGGTTGGCATCAGATACACCTATCATTAATTATAATATTTTGAAATTCAAATGCATTTATTATTATTTATTATATTAGGAAATATCTTTAATGTGTATACTCCATATCTAATTTATTAAATGTATTTTACTACATTTGCTAAAACAATTGAAACTAATGACATGTGAAGAAAAAGTCTGTAGTTGAAAATATAGACCTTTCCTCTCATGTAGTCCAATTATATTGAACCAACTTGGTAATTATCGATTAACTGAAAATTAACTTGTGAATTTAGTTATTCAATCAGTATGTTTATATATTGATAATAGGGAATAGGGAAAAAATCTTAAATATACCATCAAATTTTGAGAAAAGGCTTATCAAAGTCATTGGTTAAAAGTTCGGCTCATATATGTCATTTCCGTTTGAGAAAAAAATTCATTCATGTCATTATTTGTTAGCTGAAAACAAGTTCGGTTTTGCAGAATCATTTTTACATGTGGTCAATTATGATTCATACGAAATAAACGAGCCAAACTTTTAACGAATGAAATATATGAGTCTTTTCTCAAAGTTTGATGACATATTTGAGTTTTTTTTCTTTTTAAAAAAATATGACATGACATGACCGAATCATAATTGGTCACATGTAAAAATGGTTTTGCAAAATCAAAATTATAACCCGTTAACAAATAATGACATGAATAAATCTTTTCTTTAACAGAAATGATACGGATGATCCAAACTTTTAACAGATGACATAAATACACTTTTTCTCAAAATTAATGGCATATTTGAATTTTTTCCCTAGATAATATATAAACTCGAATCTAATAAACCGACAATCCACCCTAATTGAAAATAGACATTTCCTCTCATATAGTCCAAGTATGTTGAACCAACTTGGTAATTATCGATTAACTAATTAATCGAACACCAATGATTATTATCTCATCATATTTACAAATCGATAATAGATAATATATAAGGATCAACTCAAACCAAAATATTGACCTTTCCACTCATGTAGTCCAAATAATGGGACCACTTGGTAAGTAAATTTTTTTGGATTACTTGAGAAGACTTGCCATATAGTATTATTTTTAGATAGATACTAAAGAAGAGTTGGACATACCTTCCTACATTTATTAATTTTCTCATTTTGTGGCTCTCAACAATAGAACAAATTAGCATATTTTCTCTCGATCAAGAAAATATTACCAATGTTGTTAAATTTTGTCATACTAGTGTCTCTCTTCTTTGCACCAACTTCTTGTGAAGTTGATGGATTCATTTACAATGGATTCAAATCAAGTAATCTTAGCTTAGATGGCATTGCTAATATTACATCCAATGGTCTTTTGTCGTTAACAGATTCCAAAACACAAGATCAAGGCCATGCTTTCTATCCAAATCCAATTTATTTCAAGAATTCACCTAATGGTAATGCATTTTCATTCTCTACAACATTTGTGTTCGCGATAAGGTCTGATTATAGACCATTGGATGGTCATGGACTAGTTTTTGTTATCGCGCCACAGAGAGGAATTCAGAAGGCTTTGGCAAACCACTATCTTGGCCTTTTTAACTCAAGTAATAATGGGGATAAATCAAACCATGTTGTTGGAGTTGAGTTTGATACGATATATAGCGCGGATTTTGGTGATATGAATGACAATCATGTTGGAATTGATATAAATGGATTGAGGTCTGTAGCAAATCACACAGCAGGTTATTTTGATGATACTGGTTTGTTTAACAACTTTACTCTGGTTAGTGGCAAGGCAATGCAAGTTTGGGTGGATTATGATGGCAGAACTAAGCTAATCAATGTGACAGTAGCTCCATTACATATGGAAAAACCAGTTAGTCCACTTTTGGCTTTGAAATATGATCTTTCGCCGATTCTTAATCAGATTATGTATGTTGGTTTTTCATCATCAACTGGTTCAGTCCCAACACATCATTATATCTTGGGATGGAGCTTTAAGGCAAATGGGAAAGCTCAAGAACTTTCTCAACTTCCTAGTCTTCCTCGTGTTGGGAGCAAAGGGACTTCAAGATTTGTAACGATTGGTTTACCGGTGATCTCTTTGGTGTCAATTGTTGTAGCAACCTTAGTGGTGGTTTACTATGTAAGAAGGAAGAAGTATGAAGAAGTTCTTGAAGATTGGGAACGTGAGTATAGACCTCAAAGGTTCAATTATAAAGATTTGTACACTGCTACTAAAGGATTCAGAGAAAAGGAGCTGTTGGGAGCTGGAGGATTTGGTAAAGTTTATAAAGGAGTGATGCCTGTAACCAAACTTGAGATAGCTGTAAAGAAGATATCTCATGAATCAAGACAAGGGATGAAGGAATTTGTTTCGGAGATTGTAAGTATAGGCCGTATACAACATAGGAATGTAGTACCACTTTTGGGCTATTGTAGGCGAAAAGGGGAATTACTTTTGGTTTATGAATTCATGTCTAATGGAAGTCTAGACAAGTATTTATACGACCAACCAAGACTCACCCTCGATTGGAACCAAAGATTCAGAGTTATTCGAGGTGTAGCATCAGGACTATTTTTCCTACATGAAGAATGTGACCATGTAGTGGTTCATAGGGATATTAAGGCTAGTAATGTCTTGTTGGATGGTGAACTAAATGGCAGGCTAGGAGACTTTGGACTCGCGAGGCTATATGGTCATGGGACTGATCCTCAATCAACTCGTGTCGTTGGTACTCTTGGTTATCTTGCACCAGAGCATACTAGAACTGGCAGGGCAACACCTAGTAGTGATGTATTTTCCTTTGGGGCTTTTTTACTTGAAGTTGCCTGTGGTAGGAGGCCGATAGAGCCAAGACAAGCCGGCGATGATCTGATTTTAGTCGATTGGGTGTTTTCGTGCTGGAATAGAAGTAATATTCTCGAGGCTGTTGATCCAAACTTAGGCAATGATTTTGTTCCAGGGCAAGTGGAGTTGGTCTTAAGTCTAGGCTTGTTCTGCTCTCATTCAGAGCCCTCATTTAGGCCAACAATGCGACAAAACGTGTTGTTCTTGGATGGTGTTGTGGCCTTGCCAGAGTTATCAGCCCTCGGTGTTTCATCTGCTGGTCTAACATTTGACCATCGCGGAGGTTTTGATGATTTTATCAAGTCGTATCCAGCTTCTTCTGTTAATGCACATTCCCCTGCTTCATCTGTAGCAGAATCACTCCTTTCTGATCCCCGATGATTCATGATGAGTTGGACATATCTTCTTTGGTGGAATATTGATATACTGATCCTGGTAAATATAACATGATTTTAGTGATTATGTACTTTTGATAAATTATCGTTAATTCATACACCTGAAATATATTGTGACATGTCTTTAAGATATCTGCTCTGGTATCCTGATCTTATTGTTTACTTCCAATGCTAAATAAATACTAATCTGAGATTCAGCAATGGCTGTTCAGTGTGCTGCTGAATTAGTCTACACACGAAGCACGATTGAGCAGTTTCATGAACATTGAACAGTGAAGTAGTTCAGGCATGATACTACAGTGTAGAATGTAACCCTATACAGAGAAGATAATACTCTCTTTTCTCTTCATTGTCAAATTCTACACTAAATATGCATTGAGGACACGACAAGTCTATGCAATTGGTATCAAATGTATCGTCTCACCGACCTACTAAACTTCTATTCCAGAAAATGATTGCTAACTCTCGTTTATAGTTTTGCTTCAAATAAAAAAAAAACATGACTAATGGAAGCAAAATTAGTAAGCACTATTGAATGAAAGTTAAAAACAGTTCACTTAACAGTAGAACAAAGAGACTTGATTTACATTTAGGTAACAACTAGGAATTGAGGCATTGCCATGACTAATAATAACTTTTAACGGGTCAACGATTAAATCGATAAGGAAAATAAGTAAATGATAACAACTATACTCACTAAAAATGAAAGTCAAGAAGTTCAACAAGGCCTCTAAAAAAAACTAAAGATAGAAAAATAAAGATTTATTAATTAAAAAAAGAGTGTTGAAAGATGAAAGGAACCTCAAGACATTTAATTAATAAATATTCAAAAGTTTGACATAAATGTATTGGAAGATCATAAAACAACTTCACATTGAATAGACTCCGATTCCAATAAATGTTGGTAGATGCATGTACTCAAGCAAATTTTCTTTTATTTAGCTCATGATTCAATTACTACATTTTAAGTAATATTTATAGTGAATTTTCTACAAATTATCTCAAATTATTTTTTGTGTCCATTTTTACTTGTCATTATTCTAAAAATAAAAGACAGTGAAAATGCTCTGAAATCAAACAAAAATGTCCCCGGTTACTACTTTGATTTAAAAATGTCCCCACTATTACTTTTGAGCTAGAAATGTCTTATTCCTAATAAATTATGTTGTTTATTTTCTTTCTAAACACATTTTTTTCTAATAAAAATATTATAATCCATCATTAATTTTCATAATATAAGATCACAGTAATACATCATTAATTTTCATTTAAATAATGATAAAAAATTCTAATAAAATAGAAAATACTTTTCTAATTGAAGAGGCATAAGCATTTGCCTATATAATCTTTGATTTTAAAGTTAAATATAACTACAATAATATCATAAAATACAAAAAAATATTACATAAATTGCTTCAAATCACTTAAAATAAATTTCTTCAAATAATTATTTAGTCATTTGTGACTCTCTTTTTTTTTTTTATTACATTATGTGCCGCAAATTTTGAAAAAGTAAAAAGCGTAGGCTTCCGGGCATGTTAACATTTTGTTGTAACGTATGCAACTCATTAGTGAAAAGTAGTTAAAATAAACTGATTTTTATAAAATATAAGAATGTTATGTCTTTGTGGAATTACACCTATAATCAGAGGTTTCGAGTTCGAACTCTGGGTATGATCGAATGGGACATTGGGTGGGAAACCAAAAGAAATTTCACTGTGGAATTCAACTTGATTACGACCCAAGAACCACCATTTCAATAGTGCACTAAGGACCATTTTATTTAATAATTAAAAAGAAGGAATTACGACCATTTTACTGTACTTATCAAGGTCCAATCTATTTACGAAGTCAACTATTCAAATACACCCACCATTCTAATTTAGGCTGGAACCTTTCACGACTAATCTTTGAAGTTAAATTTGATTAGATGAACCTAATGTTTAAAATTTAAAATTTAGATACTCAAAAATTACATGAAAAGTACCATAAGTTGTAATATGATGGACAAGAGAGAGTTGATCGGATGGTAAGCACTCCTCACTTCCAATTTTAAGGTTGTTAGTTCGAGTCCCCAAGAAAGCATAATGTGAGAGCTCTTGAGGAGGGGTTAAAACAAATAGAGATGAGAGATAATAGGAAAATTAACCTTTTAAAAAAAAAAGTTGTAATATGATGAAAAAATCTATTATAAAATGTCATTCAAAGTTTTGAATCTCGAAAAAAGGAAAAGTGTATCATGGGGATAGAAGGAGTATTGCTTTAATTGTACTCTAGATTAGGGGTTGATCCAGAATTTAAAGTTTATGCATTTCTACAACGATCTTAAGTTAATACAATTAGATTTACTATCAAATATTTATGAATTTTTTAATACATATACAAAATTTGAGCAAATATTACTAAATTCTCGTGACTTCATATATCACAGGGTATATTTGCCACGGAGCAAGGTGGGGTGGCCACTACAGCCTACGTACATCTAATCCTCTCTTCAGAGCTCATTTGTGAAATGACACTGAGTATGTTATTGAAATTCAACTATGTAAATCTTATTCAACCAAACATGAGAACACTACTGCAATTGAAATTAAATTCTAGCCACTTGCCATTTGAATAAAAAGTCTGCAGTTGAAAATATAGACCTTTCTTCTTATGTAATCAAAATTTGAGTACAAGTGTGAGATGGACCAACTTGGTATATGGATGACTTTTTTTGTATTCCTTGAGACGACTTGGAAAATATTAAGCAACATTTTTGGACTGCTACAGAAAAAATGGATAAAAAAGATCATTTTTTTGTCATATCAAGAAATGTATAAACAGTTGAACAAATTAGCTTTATTTGGTCACAAATCACAATATTATCTCTCAATCAAGAAAATATTGGCAATGTTGTTCAATCTTGTCATACTAGTGTCTCTTTTCTTAGTTGGTATTGCACCAGCTTCTTGTGAAGTTGATGCATTCATTTACAATGGATTCCAATCAAAGAATCTTAGCTTGGATGGCATAGCAGAGTTTACGCCCAATGGCCTTTTGCTGTTAACAGATTCTGAAACTCAGGATCAGGGCCATGCTTTCTATCCGAATCCAATTCATTTCAAGAATTCAACTAATGGTACTGTAGTATCATTCTCCACAACATTTGTGTTTGCCATAAGGTCTGATTATGGAATTTTGAGTGGTCATGGACTGGTTTTTGTTATCGCGCCACAGAGAAGAATTCAAGGAGCTTTGGCATACCACTATCTTGGCCTTTTTAACTCAACTAATAATGGGGATAGATCAAACCATGTTGTTGGAGTTGAGCTCGATACAATCTACAGCGAAGAATTTGGTGATATCAATGCCAATCATGTTGGAATTGATATAAATGGATTAAGGTCTGTAGCAGTTGAAACAGCAGGTTATTTTGATAATACTGGCTTGTTTCATAATTTGACTTTGATAAGTGGTCAGCCAATGCAAGTTTGGGTGGATTATGATGGCAGCACTATGCAAATTAATGTAACAGTAGCTCCATTACATGTGGAAAAACCAGTTAATCCACTTTTGTCTTTGAAAACTGATCTTTCGCCGATTCTTGATCAGACCATGTATGTTGGTTTTTCATCATCAATTGGTTCAGTCCCAACACATCATTATATCTTGGGATGGAGCTTCAAGATAAATGGGAAAGCTCAAGAACTCTCTCAACTTCCTAATCTTCCTCGTCTTGGACGCAAAGGGACATCAAGATTTGTAAAGATTGGTTTGCCATTAATCTCTTTGGTTTTACTTGTTGTAGCAACCTCAATGGTGGTTTATTATGTACGAAGGAAGAAGTATGAAGAACTTCTTGAAGATTGGGAACGCGAGTACAGACCACAGAGGTTCATGTACAAAGATTTGTACACTGCCACTAAAGGATTCAGAGAAAAGGAGCTGTTGGGAGGGGGAGGATTCGGAAAAGTTTACAAAGGAGTGATGCCTATCACCAATCTTGAGATAGCTGTAAAGAAGATATCTCATGAATCAAGACAAGGGATGAAGGAATTTGTTTCGGAGATTGTGATCATAGGTCGTCTACAACACCGGAATGTAGTACCACTTTTGGGTTATTGTAGGCGGAAAGGAGAGTTACTTTTGGTTTATGAATACATGTCTGGTGGAAGTCTAGACAAGTATTTATACAACAAACCAAGATTCACCCTTGATTGGAGCCAAAGATTCAGAGTTATTAGAGGTGTAGCATCAGGACTATTTTTCCTACACGAAGAATGTGACCATGTAGTGGTTCATAGGGACATTAAGGCCAGTAATGTGTTGTTGGATGGTGAACTAAATGGTAGGCTAGGAGACTTTGGACTTGCGAGGCTATATAGTCATGGTACCGATCCTCAGTCTACTCGTGTCGTTGGTACTCTTGGTTACCTTGCACCAGAGCATACTAGAACTGGCAGGGCAACGCCTAGTAGTGATGTATTTTCTTTTGGTGCTTTTCTGCTTGAAGTTGCCTGTGGTAGGAGGCCAATAGAGCCAAGACAAGACGATGATGATCTGATTTTAGTCGATTGGGTGTTCTCTTGCTGGAATAGGGGTAATATTCTTGAGGCTGTTGATCCAAACATAGGGATTGATTTTGTTCCAGGGAAAGTGGAGTTGGTCTTAAAGCTAGGCTTGATCTGCTCTCATTCAGAGCCCTCGTATAGGCCAACCATGCGACAAATCTTGTTGTTCTTAGATGGTGTTGTGGCCTTACCAGAGTTATCATCACTCGGTATTTCATCAGCTGGCCTAACGTTTGACCATCATGGAGGTTTTGATGATTTTGTCACGTCCTATTCATCTTCAATTAATGCACATTCCCGCTCTCCATCTGTAACAGACTCCTTTCTCTCTGGTGGCCGATGATTCTTACATTAAATATGTTAGTAACTTTAACTTGTAAGTTGTAATCATGATTAGCACCTTATCTTAGTTTTAATTGAATCTCTATACTACTGCACCTCAAATAAGATGGAAATGCACTTTCTTTTTAATTCAAGCTTAGTTTTCTTATCAAATTTTGACTTCAACTTAGTAGCATACATGTAGTCAACTAATAATTGACATGCACTCACACAAGAATTTGCTTGTATGTTACTTCCATTGCTTCCAGTAGAGCTACCATTTGATTTATCAGTTACCTTGCTTGGAAGTTTAGGCAACTCGACGACAAGGATTGTCTAGTAATTTGCTTATCACAATTCCAGATTCATGAATTGACATGATCTGCTAATTGAAGTCCACAAAGTTGGCTTGTTTAATGATCCTAGAAATTGACTCAGGAGTTTTATTCAATTTCTCCTTGAGATCTATGTTTTCAGTGTTTACTAAACAAATTAAAGCCTCTCCCCAAACTCTATTTGAGTGGTTCAAACAACTTTTTCATTTTCGAAAAAGTTAGGTACTGAAAGTAAAGAATAGAGATGTTTACGTGGAAACCTCCTTGCTCAAGGGAGGAAAACCATGACCTGTCACACAAGATTTCTCAAAGCTCCACTAACTTCAAGCAACTCGTAAATACAGACTCGACTACTTACGATGAATTAAACTCTTAATCCTACACACCTTGTAACCCTCTAGTACAAGACACAAAGCAACAACTCTATTGCCCACTTTATCAACTAACTCTAGCTAATATAGACTTAAATAGTACATCCCGGCTAACTCTAGCCACAAATTCAAATCACAATAATAAAAGGAGACGCGATCTACAAACCTTTATGTCGTAGGAGTAGATCTACAATATGACAGCCCACAACACTGAACTCAAAGAACAACTGAAGAAACTACAACACTTGAACAGGTCCCTTTGCTGTGTATGAGAAAAGTTCTTCAAAACCTAGGAGTGTGCCATTGGTTAAGGACGTCTCCCACTGCAGCGCCTCTGCTGCAGTGCCCACCAACCACTGCAGGAACTGCAGCTTTACAGGTGTACATAGTTGACTTGTCCTGTGGGACGAAAAATCTTTGGACCAGGTCCCTTGTATGATAGTTTGTTAAATCATCAAAACTCAAAATACAACATAGCGTCAGGACTATTTTTCCTACACGAAGAATGTGACCATGTAGTGATTCATAGGGACATTAATGTCACGGACTTAGAGTCTGTGGCGGGACGTGACATTAAGGCCAGTAATGTCTTGTTGGATGGTGAACTAAACGGTAGGCTAGGAGACTTTGGACTCGCGAGGCTATATGGTCATGGGATCGATCCTGACCGTGAATTGGACAACCATATGTTGGCATTGACATCAATGGACGCCTAAAATCTGCAATACCAAAGCCAGCAATGGGAAATCCTTCAATAAGTTAGCTACTTGTGCACATTCGAAACTGAAGACATAAATGTTGGTTGAGAGTTGAGACCAAGTTAAATAAAATATTTATATATTATGCTAATTTTAAAAAATGTTTAACTATTAGTTGCAGCAAGTAATATGAAATTGAATGTTAAGATAATTGAACTAAAAAATGCCTCTCTATTAAATACCTTGTTCTTTTTAGCTCTTATTTTCTATTTTTCTTCATGTTTGTTGGTTAGTAAAGGTTAGTTACCTTATTAGAATTGATAATGTGAGTATAGCCCCCTTGCTTGTACTTATCTATATCTAGGGATGGCAATGGGGAGGGGCGGATGCGGGGCGGGGTGGGTTTAAGCCTATGTGGGGCGTGGCGGGTTTAAGGTTGCGTGGGGCGGGTTGAAGTGGGTTTTTAAAAATTGATGTGGGGCTGAGCGGGTTGCGGGTATATGTGATTTTATATGGGTTCAAACTTAATTTTAACTTTTTACATGTTATAAGAGTAATAGATCATTATTTATAAAGATAATTTCATTAAAGCTACTAAAATATTCAAGATAATAAATGAAAATGGTTCAATAAAAATAATACAATTTCTTACATGTTTCCCAATTGACCTCTAAAAAAAATAATTTTAAGTCACTATCCTATTAAATTAATACAACTTAATGAAAAAATGAATTTATTTTTATGAATTTTATTTTTAGTATCAAACACAACTAGAAAAAGAAAATATTAAAACAATTATGTGAGGCGGGGTGGGGCGGGTTGAAAATGATAAGACTTGTTATGCGGGGCGGATTAAAAATTTTGCGGGTTAAGCTCAACATGTACTGCCCCCGCCCTACACCGCCCCATTGCCATCCCTATCTATATCCATATCTTTTTATTTTTAATAAAAGACCGCTAAACAGAGCGACACCCTATCTAGTGGTAAATTTGCTAAAAAAAAACTCTCTATTCATATATTCTTTGCTACGTGGTCATTGACTTGACTTACTATTACCACCACCAGACTAAAATCTAACTTAAATGTCTTCATTGGTGTGAAAATAGTCACATATTCTTTCCACACAACTAACGAAAAAAAATGTTCCCTTGCCATTTAGTGTGGAAATGGAGAAAAATACATGCCCACAAAATTTGACTTCTTCAATTTTGTCACTTATCACAACCAAGAAATTTAAGTTTAGGACCATAGTGAAGAAAAAAAAATATGAATTTGTCTTTAAGGGTATTCATAATTATTCCAATTGTCACATCTTCTTATGAATTCTTGAAAAAAAATTAGCCATGTTTTTCAAGATTGTGTCCTTGATTGTGTCTTCTCTTTTTGTTGTTACAAATTCTGAAAACTTTGGATTCATTTACAATGGGTTCAATAGAGCAAATTTGAGTCTTGATGGCATTGCACAATTGACATCAAATGGCTTATTAGAGTTAACAAATACTTCTAGGCTACAAAAGGGGCATGCTTTTTATTCTACACCAATTAATTTCAAGAACTTGCAAAATGGTTCAAATTTCTCTTTTTCTACCACTTTTGTCTTTGCTATTGTGCCTTCTGTTTTGCCTGGTCATGGTATGGCTTTTGTAATTGCACCTGTTGGTGGTCTAGTAGATGCACTTCCAAGCCCATTTTTAGGCCTGTTCAATGATAACACTACTGGGAGAGTCAGTAACCATGTTTTCGCGGTCGAGTTTGATACTTTACAGAACAGAGAATTCAATGATATTGATGGTAACCATGTTGGAATTGATATCAATGGATTGAAATCCGTTGAATCGAAGACAGCAGGTTATTATTATGGTGTTAAATTCAATAACATGACTCTTGCTAGTGGTCAGCCAATGCAGGGTTGGGTGGACTATAATGGTATGGCTAAGCAAATAAATGTAACTCTGGCTCCAATGAATGTAGCAAAACCAAATGCACCACTTTTGTCATTGTTGTATGATCTTTCACCAATCTTGAATGAAACCATGTATATCGGCTTCTCTGGATCGACTGGCTCGGTTGTTTCAACACAATATGTTCTAGGATGGAGCTTTGAAATGAATGGAATAGCTCAAGGTCTTGATCTTGCTAGACTTCCTAAGCTTCCTCGAGTTGGACCGAAGAAACAATCTAAACTTTTGCTGATTGCTTTGCCAATGATATCGGCAGTTGTTGTAGTAATAGCCTTTTCTGTGTTGATTTACTATGTCGGAAGGAAGAGGAGGTTTGCGGAATTGCTTGAAGATTGGGAGCTTGAATATGGACCTCATCGGTTCAAGTACAAAGATCTTTATATCGCGACAAAGGGATTTGCTAACAAAGAGTTGTTAGGTTGTGGCGGTTTTGGCAGAGTTTACAAAGGAGTATTACCAACTTCTTCAATTGAGGTAGCAGTCAAGAAGGTGTCTCATGACTCAAAACAAGGATTGAGGGAATTTGTAGCAGAAATTGTTAGTATTGGTTGTCTACGCCACAGGAATTTAGTGCCACTTTTGGGTTATTGCAGGCGTAAAGGAGAGTTGCTTTTGGTTTACGAATACATGCCTAATGGAAGTCTTGATAAGTTCCTATATGACAAACCAATATGTGCTCTCAGTTGGAACCAAAGATTTCGAGTCATCAAAGGCGTAGCATCAGCACTAGTCTATCTACATGAAGAATGGGAACAAGTTGTAATACACAGAGATGTGAAGGCTAGTAATGTGTTGTTAGACAGTGAATTGAACGCAAAGTTGGGAGATTTTGGACTAGCAAGATTGTATGATCACGGGAGCGATCCTCTCACTACACATGTAGTTGGAACTGTAGGTTACCTTGCCCCTGAGCAAACAAGAACAGGCAAAGCCACAACCATTAGTGATGTATATGCTTTTGGTGCATTTTTGCTTGAAGTGGCTTGTGGGAGAAGGCCAATAGATCCACGAGTATCGGATGAGGACATTGTGTTGGTTGATTACGTGTTTTCTTGTTGGAGTAGAGGTGATATTCTTCAATCCATTGATCAAAATTTGGGGAATGAATATGTTAAAGAGGAAGTTGAATTGGTACTAAAACTCGGACTTGTTTGCTCTCAGACAGAACCAACAACGAGGCCAAGTATGAGGCAAGTTTTAATTTACTTGGAAGATATCGTGCCTCCACCATTGCCAGAGTTGTCATTGTTACAAAGTTCTGCCCATTATTTTTCATTTCCAGGTTTTGATCATCACTTGTCTATGTCTTCATCATTTTCTCCAGAGAAAGTACTTTCATATCCCTCCACCGATTCGAACTCTCTTCCATTCACTGGTCCATGATTAGAACTCTTTCTGTATTGCCTTGATGAATTGTGATTCCAATCCCAACAGCAACAACAACTGTACTTCAATTCCAAACAAGTTCATGTTAGCTATGTGAATTCTTACTGTCTATATCGTTTCAATTAAGCATGTAATATTTGTTACGATACAAATAATGGACTAATGTACACTTAGAATGATCCGATTTCTTTTGATCTATAATGCTGTCGACATGTATTGCTACTCCCTCTGTTTCAGTTTATGTTGCTTGATTCGGAATATAAAGGTCAAACTAACTAATGTTTGGTGTGAATTCAGACACTGATTCTTCATCTTTTTTTAAAAAAAATTACTCCTATTTAGAAACCACATAAAAAGTATATTGTTACAATGCAAATAATGAACTAATGTACACTTAGAATGATAGTTCTTTGATCTATAATATTGTTATCTTTTTTCCCTTCATTTTTTTTCTTAAAAGAAAATTTTCAGTTAACTATAAGACGTGGAGTAAGATGGGATATTTTTTTTTACCAACAACGGTTATGGTGTAGTGGTAAGTATTCCTTCATCCTTAACCAACATGTCTCGGGTTCGAGTCCCCTGCGTTTTACCCCTAACGTGAGACTTCTCAGAGTTTCGGAGTCCCAAGTCATGGATGGGAAGTGAGTTATTCTAACTTCTTCATTAAGCCCAACAATGACTTTTTGGGATATCATTTTCTTCACTGGCATCATATGATGTTATTATCAATTAAGTGGACCACAATTATAGGTAAGAGAAGTTAAATGCAGAGGACAGACTTCAATATACATCTTCTGACTTCTGGTATGGTATAACATAATACTTCCTTCGTTTCAAAAAGAATGACCTACTTTCTTTTTTAGTCGATTTGAAAAAGAACTTTTTTTTCTTGGACCGACCTAAATGCGTAGGTCCTGGACTGAATCTTTCCTCTGTAGCGATCAGGTAGACCGTGATCATGAATGAGGAATCGTAGATATAAATATCAAATTTCGCAAACCATCTTGTTATTTCATCAGTTTTTGTGTAATGTATCTTTACACTTCTAGAGCAAGCCTAGTACCATCAACAAAATTTGAAAGAATGAAGGTTACTCTAATAAAAATCAATAAAATGGAAAAAAAAAATTAACAAAATAAAGTTTCTGCATTAGCAAAAAAGATAAAAGATGTTAAGAGAGTATAATTTGAAAGATCAACATTTAGGAAGATCAGCTGGTGGAGGAGGTAACTTCTGCTTAGGACCTTTTCCATCATTTACCATCCAGACCATTTTCAAGCCCCAACTTGTGTGTACTTCAAGATGACAATGCATGAACCATACTCCTAAAAAATTCAAAAATATTATGTCAACAAGCTACCAACAAAAAGAAAATAGATATTTCAATTCAAACATTAACTTAATTAATGAGTTTATGTTTTGTACGCTGACAATGAAACTTTTTTTTGGCATAATACATAACAAACACTCAAACTTGGCCTCAGTTTATATATAAGTAATACAACGTAACTTTGTGAGTGCACATCTAGATACCTCAACTAAATACTCCAACTCGTCCTCACTGTGTCTTGTGGACTGATGTAGTAGCACATAAATTTTGGAGGTGTCTAGATGATGATTTTGTAAACGTTGGAGTATTCAACTAACACATTGGAGACGAGTTGAGGTGTCTAGATGTGCATGTTCAAAGTTTGAGTGTTTGCTCTTTATTTTTACATGTAACTTCGTATGAAGCCTCATATAGTACTAATAATCGCGTAAAATTGCTTGATACTATCAATGTATATAACTTAAAATCTAATGTAATACCTGGATTGTCTGCAAGGAAGCGAATGGCGACCCAACCTCCAGACGGAACACCAACAGTGTTTCTTTCAGCAGGATCAACAAAGTTGAAATTAGCAGGATCCTTGCTAGAATTATAATTTCCAAATCCTTGTCCAACCACAAAGAAATTGAAACCATGAAGGTGAAGTGGATGACTTTCGGCGCTTATAATACTTGTATCTTGCATAACTAATTCCACACTAGTATTAAAAGGCAACACCACAACTTTTGTACCTGAGGTAACAAAAGTATTGTTTGGTGGATTTCCTGTGTAATTGAATTTAAACGGCGGATTGACTGGAAAATCTGTTGTATAAACTCCTTTAGATTGGTTAAAATAGTGTGATTGAAGTAGAGCTACATTTGGCTGAACAAACGATACATTGTTAACAGAAGCTGCCAATTTAGTGTTATTTGGTCCTTGACATGTTTGATTCTTAGGACACGGATTCAATCCTAATCCAACAGTGAAGAAAAACTGTTTATCAACTTTTTTAGGTACATTGGCTGGAAACTTCGCATTGGCTAAGCTTCTGATTTTCTTGACAAAACTTGTAGCAAAAGTTGTGTCATTGAATATAGGGAGTTTTGGTTTCAACAGAGGAAATTTGTTGCTCTTTTTAGTATTGTTAGAGTGTTGATGATATTCTAATATTCCAGTGGTGGTGGAATTGTCAAAGGAAGCAGGACCAGTCGCGTAAGGCCGAGCTGACATGAGGAAGGTGGCATTAGGATGAAAATGTTTGGTTTTCAAGAGGATATTTGTGGTTTGTCCTGGTGTTATAAGAATTATGTTTGTGTTGAATGGTTTCACATAAACAGCATCAACTTCTACAACAGTAAGGTTATGATTTGCTATACTGAAAAAAAGTTCATCATTTAGTGCAGCATTGACTACTCTTAGTAGATATGTTTTCCCTGGTTTCACCTTCAATTTGAATGTATCTGCAACACATATGAAAGTAATTAAGTTGCTATTTTTACATAAAAATATGTGACAAGGCCTTGTTTTGTTGAATTTTGCAAGAGTGTTGACGATGTTAAAGATATTTATACAATCAGATCATTTATAAGGTAATCACAAGCAAGTCTCTATGATATGCACAAGAACTCATCCCTCAATATAAAGAAGTTTAGAAGGCAAGAATCATAAGCATTTAGGCACTCTAATGCAAAAAATACTTGTGGTAAGTAGACAAAGACTTAGTTGATACAAACCTATGAATAGGGAAACGTTAATCGATATAATAAGATAAAATTAATTAGACTATCAGTATATAAAACTTAAATTATTTTTGAAATATTTACCTTTAGCAGAACAATTGTAGAGAAGTCCAGGTAGACCATTGATGGTATAAGCATCAGAAATATTTGGAGGTCCTCCTGTTTGAAGGGCTTGATTAATTATTTTCTCTGTATCTGCCTTCCACCATTCACCTAAAATCCAAATACATTATGAGAATCACGAAAAAAAATTGACTTTCTGAGATAATAACTATTAATTAAATGACCATCTGAGAAATCAGTGTTGCGATGAGTGTCATATACCAAAAAGAATTGGGACTTCCTTGAAGGGTTGTGGAAAAGGATAAGCAACACCTTTCTTTGGAAGAATAACAATAGGTCCATAGAGTGTTACTCTTAGCCATGAAATGTGAGCATGCCAAAATAAAGTTCCTCTTTGACCAGTAATAGTGAAATTGTACACATAACTTTGCCCTCTCTGAATTGGGCATTGTGTAATATAAGCTGGTCCATCTGCCCATCCACTTCTTAGTTGTCTCACTCCATGCCTAGAGACATGTAATACACAAATATTTAGCTTTTGATAAATGAGTTTAACTTTTATGAATTGACAGTGCGATAGAAATATTTAGACTAGGCACATTAGAGTCGTACACAAGCTATACATACTATTTGGTGTTGAGTTTAACTTCTACACGTCGATAATGTAAAGGAATTTTATATTTCATATCACTTAAATGATAAGTACAATAATCAAAACCTTGTAATGAGATAAGTAAACATTCTTTGCATTGTTAGTGGAGTTGATTTCTCATATTGTCACATCATAGCAAAAGAAACATTTAGTGGTAAGAAAAAAAATATTTAGTGGCAATATTTATTATTGCAAAAATATATAGTGGCAATTGAATTAATGTTATTGCAATTCAGCATTTACACTACCTCAAAATGATTTTTAACGGTAATAGACTAATTACCGTTAAATATGTATTTTTGACAGTGATTTAGCACTCTTTGTAAAATCCCCACCTGGTTATAGTGTCACTCAACTAATAATTATTATCTTAGAAATCATTTTCTTTCATTGAAAAAACTGGAATCAAGAAGAAAGGTGATTTAATAGAGTCAGCAAGATCCGGGTGACCAGAGTGATCAACTTAAGGGAAGTTTCGCAGGTTTGTGAAGAAATGAGTTATTGTCTCTCGGCTCGGGTATTCCGTACGTTCACTTTTTCAGAAAGGCATAATTCTTTCCCAGCCGGCTGGAAAGTTATGACATTTATAAAGAAAGTGATTTGGAATAACAACAGCCAAAACGACTTCCTTTTGAAACAATAACTATATATCAATTAGTTTAGTGTATACAATCCTTTGATAATTGCTTAGTAAACTCATTTTGTAGAAATGAAAATAGTATTAAGAAATGAATTAGCTTCCAAATTGTAAAACAAAATGTTACATACCAATGAATGGTGACATTGTGTTGAACATTGTTAACAACCTTAATAACAAGTCTGTCTCCTTCTCTTGCAATAATTCTTGGCCCTGGAAACTTCCCATTCACTGTCACAATGTTCTTTGTTTGACACAATCTTGTCACATTTTGCATTTGAATCTGCATTAATCAAATTGAAAAAAAATAAAATTAAAATGAAACAAAATTGCTAATGCACTATGAAATAATTAAATATGACATATATACATTAAACTTGTAGTGCCTTGTAATCCCTTCATGCTTTGCAAGTGTTAGTGTATCAACTAAAACCAAGAAAAATACAGCCAACAAAAAGAGATTATTATAAGTCTTTAGAAAAGAAAATCCCATGTGTGTTAAATTGTTTTTTTTTTGTTGGTTTGTTTTTTGTTGAGAGATATTGGTGGGAAATTAATTGAAATCTTAGTTGTTTTTGGATGGTAATTAATGAATAAAATGGAAGATTTATATATATTGTGAGTGTTTGGTCAAATAGGTGGTAAAAATTAAAATAGGGGATTATTGACCAGCTATAGGGTGTTGGCTCAACCATACTTTTGAGTGATGTTAAAGTCTGATGATTATTTTGCTATATTATTTTATTCATACCACATAAAGTTTTTTTTAAATGAAATCTCCAAATAACTATATGCATGTATTTATGCTTAATTCCTTTTTTATTGTGTTTTTTATCCTCACTTTTTTGTGATAGTTATTCGTAAATATTTATTCATATCGAGTGTTTATATCAATTCAAGATATTTTATAGCAGGGTTCTCCCCTCCTTTTGTTAAGAAGAAATATGTTATCGCAATTCCAAATAATTTGATACGATTATATGAATATTCATTTCATTGTGAAAGAAATATGTATTAGATTTTTTATAAAGAAAGATGAAGAATATGGTAGATCCCAATGTACGTATAATTTTACATATAGTAGATATATCTTTAGAAGCACAAAAAGAAGAAGAAAAGGAAAGGAATAGAGACGGAATCGGAATTTGAAAAAAAAAATTAATCAAAAGGATCAATGGTATTTCCATTTATCATTCAAGTGTAACTCGAACCCTCAACTAACCTAATCATTCGAGCAAGCCTCACTAGTTGGATTTGAATTTATATGATCATGCTCGAACTCTTTTTTTTACCACAATTCATTAAATATATTGGGTACAACATCAGTTACTTATACTTATTTATTGAATTTTTTTATAGAGTTCAAAAGTCAAAATTTTTGAGTTCAGATGAACCTGTAACTAAGCGCATACACCCGTCCGGTGGAGTCACGTGCACTTAAAGAGGATTCGATTGAACCACTTTTTATTCATAGAAAAGTTATATTGCATTAAATAGGGTAAAATAATTATTTTATACATACATAAACAAATTAATCTTCCTAATTAACATAAGAAAAATATAGATTCAAAATCTTAGGTGTAACGTCTTCTAAAATATAGATTCAAAATACATATAAAAAAAATTGGTTAGCAAATTCTCAGTGGCGGAATCACATATACTTAAGGGGTGTCAACCGACATTCCTTCCTTGGAAAATTACACTGTGTAGCTAGATAAAATTATTGTTATATATATATATATATATATATATTAGCACTTCTTAATTTCTACGCGATTTTACTTCTTTATATTTTAACACTTTTTAATCAAAATTTTAGCTCCGCCTCTATATAAACTCATGGCAACATAAAGTGAAGAAAATAAATTGTTTTGTGAACCAGAAAATTGGCAAATTATAAGTTGCTAATAAGTTGCACTCATTCTCCAACCGTTAATAAACATAGGGTACTTTAACATCATATTCTGTTAGTTGCGGTCGGTTGTTCATTTTTTTTCAATTGTTGTGTACCTAATAACAACATTGATGTTTATTGATATGTTATTAATTACTATTACTTTGTTTTTAATTATATACAAAATTAAAATTAGATTAGAATTAACACATTAATGTGGCAATAACTTCCCTATATTGATATTATTTTAACTCAAAGTTTTATGCAATTAACTACTCAATGAGAAAATTATATTCGAAAATTTTCAACTAACGATGTCACGATCCAAAATCAAGGTATGTAGCTAGAACGGGAGAGAAACTAATTCCGGAGCAAGAAGGGGGAGGTAAATTGTAAGTTTTTTGTTATTTTAGTCGACTAACAATGAGGTGGTCTAAATGGATGGCTAAGTTAGTTTGGAGGGTGGTCATCTACACAGATGACTCGAGATCGATCCCCCTTCAATGCCTTTTGAGTCGAGCCTATCTCATAAGGCTTAATTACCTATTGTGCTTTAATTCCCTTATGTGGTTGTAGGCTATTACACTCAGGAAGAGCAAAAACTTGCAATGTAGAGATACAAAGGAAAGTGAGATTTAGTAATATACATGGAGTGTTTTAAGTATTAAAAAATGGATGAATTTTGCGATTTTGCTATAAAATAGTCATTGTGCTACACTTGGTAATATCGCTATATCAAAAATGATTTTTAGTGACAATTAATTAACAACAATAGCTTAATTATCACTAAATATATTTTTTAGATGCACTTACTAGTGACAGCTACATTTTTCATATTGTTTGTAAATGTCGGTAAATAACACCTATATCTACATTGGATCTAATGAACTTTTAGCATGGATAACACACGACATAAAAGTTTGCATATTTATTGTATGTTGTTTGTATATGTCTTGTAAATCTTATGTATGTTATGCATATTTCAACTGTATATATTAACATATAGTAGTATATATATACAATAATATAGAAAAAAGATAATATTGGAAGATGAAAAGATAAGAAGAAAGAGAAAAGGTAAAATCAATGGTTCAAAATTACAAATAAATTCTACCATCCTAAGTTCATAATCTATTTTCATGTGCTTTAAAGGAAATAAATGCCAATTACTTTGTATGAAATTCTTTTAAAATGATTCAAAAGGAAGGTAATAATTCTCATTATTGATTCCAAATTTCTCAGTATTTAGAATTACAAATATATTCTCTCTCTCATGTAATCAAATAATAAAAATAAAATGAAGAAACATTAAAGGTCAAGGAAAAAAAATGAGGTACAAAAATTGCATGAAATTAAATTCTCAACACTTGGGGAGGTCCATTGGTGGAGGAGGCAACTTTTGATTTGGAAGTTTTCCATCTTGAACCAACCATGCCATTTTCAATCCCCAACTTGTGTGAACTTCCAAGTGACAATGCATAAACCATACTCCTATTAACAAACAACATCATACATTATTAGCATATATATTCTACACTTTCTCCATTCTAATTTATGTGATGATGTTTGACTAAGTACAAAATTTAAGTCATAGATATGTATGCTATTATAAATCACTTTCATTAAGGGTATAGGTATCTCAAAGTTATATTGTTACCAAATATAAAAAATATGTCATTCTTTTCAGAACTGATTAAAATGACTTGATAATACTAGACTTTTCGAAAGCAAATTCTTAGATTGTTACCTGGATTATCTGCTAGAAATCGAATAGCAACCCAACCACCAGAAGGGACACCCACAGTGTTCCTCTCAATAGGATCAACAAGGTTGAAATTTGATGGATCCTTATTAGGGTCATAATTCCCAAACCCTTGTCCAACAACAAAGAAGTTGAATCCATGAAGATGAAGAGGATGACTTTCAAGACCAAGAATACTTGTATCTTGCATTACTAGCTCCACACTTGTGTTAAATGGTAAAACCATAAGTTTTGTGTCATTATTAACAAGAGTGTTATTTGGAGGGTTTCCTGTGTAATTAAACCAATGTAAAGGACTATAAGGAAAATCAGGTTTATATACACCTTTAGATTGTCCAAAAAAATGAGATTGGAGAAGTGCATTTGTAGTAGGTAATATGAATGACACATTGTTGATTGAAGCTGAGAATTTTGTACCATTAGGCCCTTGACATGTTTTATTTTGATCACAAGGACTTGTTCCAAGACCTATTGTGAAAAACAAATGTTTATCGACGTTTAGAGGTACATTAGCAGGAAATTGAGGAGTCGCGAGACTCCTCAATTTACTTGTAAAATTGGTGACAAAAATCGTATCGTTGAGAGATGGTAATGATGGTTTAAAGATTGGTAGATTTTTCAAATGGTGTTTTGATTTTGATTCATATTCTAAAATTCCAGCAACAGTAGAGTTGTCAAATGTGCCAGAACCTGTTACATATGGCCTAGCTAACATGTAAAATTTGGCATTAGGAAAATGAGGTTTAGTTTTGAGAAGAACATTATGTGTTTGTCCTGGTGTAATAATAATTGTATTTGTCTCAAAGGGTTTAACATAAACACCATCAGCATCGATAACTTGGAGAGTATGATTCGCGATACTGAAGAAAAGCTCATCGTTAAGTGCAGCATTGATCAATCGAAGAAGGTAAGTTTTTCCAGGCTTCACCTTCAATTTAAAAGTATCTGTAAAAAAAAAATGTATAATTATTATTTCAAAAGTCGAACAATCTATAGTAAATTGAAATAAATTGAGCCATCATTATACACGTGTACTCTATTTTGTGTCATTCATTTTAGAACAGACGAAAAAATATTACCTTTTGTCGAGCAATTATACAAAGGGCCAGGAAGTCCATTAATAGTATAAGCATCAGAAACATTAGGACCTCCACCTGTTTGTAAAGCTTGAGAAATTATCGCCTCAGTGTCACCATTGAACCATTCCCCTATATGACATTAGTATTAATAAATTTTGATAACATTAGACAAATTAATTAATAATAATTATAATATTATGACTTAAAATTAATTATAATTACCAAAGATGATGGGAACTTCTTTGTAAGGTTTGGTAAATGGATAAGGATTATTTTTCTTAGGAAGAATAATAATAGGACCATAGAGAGTTGATCTCAACCATGAAATATGTGCATGCCACCAAAAAGTTCCTCTTTGACCAATTATAGTGAAATTATACACATATGTTTGGCCAAATTGAATTGGACATTGTGTTACATATGCTGGTCCATCTGCCCATCCACTACGAATTTGTTGAATTCCATGCCTATTATAAGAACAAAAATATCGTTCTTATAGAATTTTATCGATTACTCGTTGAATCGTGTGAGAAAATAATTAA